TACTTTATACTGGGGGCCAAACTAACTAACTGTACCAGTGTTCTGTTACCCCGATAGATGGGAATGGGTTGTTAAATTTTCATTCAGTGTGTCCTGATAGAGGAGAAACGAGAGAGAGACACACCTCGTCGTTCTACATCTTTGTTTCCATTTTTGTTTTGTTACCGTATTTTACTAATAATTATACAGCTCGCATCATTATCTAAATAAAAAAAGGAAGAGTCTCACATGTCTTACCCATCAAATATATAATCATAAATGTTTTTAGAGGACCCCCTCTTAGGGGGGGAAGACCCCCAATCCAAAAGTCGTACACAACGGACAAAGTACAATATGTTTCAAGTCGAAACTAAGGTAGTAGAGTAATTTGGAATAAATTTTCGTATGAAATCAAGACACTTCCCTATATACGTGACATGAAGTGAAATTAAGTATAACATACGACGTTTCGCATATATAATGACGTCCTACAAAACAACTTATCTAAAATCACCAAAGTTTTAAAGCCCAGACTAGATAACTGATTCCTTTTTCACCCAGGGCTCCGGACTGGTCAACTCTTGGTGACCGCATGTCCTAATTAAAATTAGGGCTATACGTATCTACACATTAAAGGACGTAGAAAGAACGTGGAAAATCGGAATAATGTATATAAAAGAAAAAAATCAATCCATATATCGTACAACGTAACAACCTCCACGGGGAACGACGGATTTGCTTGGAGAACACGTATACTTGTTGTATTTTTCGTCAGCTTTAGGGCAGAAAATATCAAAAAGAGCCCACGTTTAGAACCGCCCAGCAAGTCAAAACTACACAAAACTATCGCAATACCATTATATTTATTTTGGCCACGGTGTCTCGGAGTCACAATTAGGCCACTTACTGAAGTGTTCATACAAGGATGACTGGCCCTTATGTTGGAGTTTATATATGGTAGTTCCTTTTGTGGCATTTCAGCATGCTCGCGTCCCAGACGAGAGACGAGTCCCTGCATTTCGGTGTCTTGATTCTCCGAGGACTCCAGGCGAAAAGTTGGTTCTTTCCGTTGTACGCAAAGTGCCGTAGAGAGTAATTGTCCGCCCGGGGGCTTCTCTCACTGTCCCCCCCCCAAGTTTGGAGTCTGACATTTTCCGAACGTCCATACACACACACACACACACACAGGTTCAAAGTTCCGAGATAACAGTAATCGTGTAAATTTGATCAAGTTCTCCTTTATTGTGCTCTTTACTAAAAGAGTCTCCAGGTCCTACCCCTTCCACAAACTGATACACATACACATTTATACACAACTATACATCCACACCATATACATACACCGTATATACATATAGGTCACATTACATACACATACATATATACAGTTAGTTGTCCATTTCGTCTAATTATTATGATTATTGTAGTTATTATTACGTATTTTACTATTACTCGATATCTAATATTTATTTAGTAAATCCCTGTTCACCCACTCTAATTTATTCAATATGGGGAGAAGAGTGAGTAAAGAGTTGTGATCTACACCGTGACAAATACAACGATTACGACAACAACAACAACAAACAACAAACAACAACAACCAACATTTACAGTAAAAACAAAACTAAAGAGAATGTACTGATACGTGACGTTGTAAACAAAACATTAATAAATAAATGAGCAAATTTATTTACATAGTAGTTAGTTAGTTAGTTAGTTAGTTAGTTTAGTTTTTTTCCGATGTCGCATCTATACTCTTATCTTTTGTATATAGTAGAATGATGCCTTTTTGATGATTATGTGTTCATTTTTATCTGAAGTTGTACGAATGTACCCATGGATGTATAAAGAATAGTTCTACCGCAAAGTTATTCTCCGTGGGGACTTCCGGCAACAATCTTGATTCTGATTGGCCAGAAGACTCGAACAAACATCAGCAAAGATGTTTTATTGAGAAGATGATCACTACGTGACAGAAGTTTTCAAAACCGTTTATGGTCTCCGGTACTTCCAGTCCAACGCCGACTGCATGCACAGCGTTAAACTTTTCTTTCTTTTTTTTCACTCACACATCTGCGACCCACTCGAAACGGGTCCGCGACCCAAAAGTGGGTCGCGACCCACCAGTTGAGAACCACTGCTGTACAGTAGATGAAATGCTGCATACTGTAATAACACTTCTCCTGAAGCCAGACTGCAGCACTGACGGTTATTTCCATGCTCAGTTTATTTTCTCAGATGTGTGTTTCATCATGCTCTGATGCAGCACGTCTGTCCTGCCTACCGACACGACTCCATCACGTCTCCACTCGTGTGTTTTGGAGAGACTACAGAGAGAAAGTAGAGGTTTCAAAAGCCACCCTGTCCATCTGCACCCCGCCCTAATACATCCTCAGATACAACATGAGAAATGATGATATTTAGAGCGTATGTATTGATATAAAGAGGCAGATGCAGCACTTTCTTGTGGAGGAAGACGGAGAAATGTTTGCTCAGATTTGTCCGAACCAAAGTCCACTTGGCAGGATTGAAGTGTTTCTCTATGCAGACGTTTGTTATGAAGGAAAATGCTGAATGACGGAGATTTGATATTGCATTTAGCTCTCCTTGAGGTGTGGTTAGAACTCGCAACGCCACCAATTGGAAATGAAAGCAGCTCATCCATCATGCATAACTAGTCACTTGTCATTGACTCTTTCTCCTCCAACTTTTCTACATCTTTGTTAAACTTGACTCTGAGCAAAAAGGGAACTCCTCCTGATCCCCCTAGAAAGTCTTAAAGGAATTTAATCAATAAACTACAAATAAGTCACTGAAATGAAGGCACTAAGAAGTCTGAAATGTACCCTTCAGCAGTCTTACTAATTTATAAGACATAGGAATTACGTGTTATTATTCGTAAAATCACAAAATTGTTGGTAAGTAATTTATCAAGCTTTTTAATTATTGCAGAAAAATCTTTAAACTCAAGATTTTATCATTCTTTATCAAACTACACACAACTCCCATGGTCTCAACCCTCACCACTGCTAAGCTAAAGGTGGCTAACGTTCGTTTAGACACTTCTTTTTTAAGAAATGTAAAAGCTTCAAAATGAATGGGATATTTACTGTCAATGTAATGTCATAGAACAAAATGTTAACATCTCTCAAGTTTAATTAAACCATAGATCTTATCTCAGGCCTCTTACATCAAAATAAAACATTAAAAAAACACATTTTTCTCGAGACAAGGGAAAGTGTAAAAGTGCTGACTCACTTTTCTGCAACAGAACACTTTGTTAAATTTCATCCTGAGCAAAAAGGGAACTCCTCCTGATCTCTCTCTCTCTCTCTCTCTCTCTCTCTCTCTCTCTCTCTCTCTCTCTCTCTCTCTCTGTACCTACCTGTTCTTTGTTTGGCGCCGTGTTTGAATTCCGTGTCTGTTCAAGCACAGATTGTGGATAGGAGGAATGAAGTGGGTTTTTCGAAGAGCTCTCCCTTTGTTACCCACATCCTGTGTTTGACCCCCAGGTAATCACAGTCCCCCTCCTCCTCTTCCTCCTCCTCCCTGTGGTGGGAACAGAGGAGGAAGCTTCTGGGGGTCACAGACCGCGGGGGGGATGACAGTATTGGCGGTATTGAGAACCTGCGAACCATGGATGAGTCTTTTTCACATGGCATTAGCCTGTAGGTCAGGAGGAATGCTGTGATGACGGCTGTTATCGCTCACACTGAGGTCTGACCACCCACCCCCTCCCCACAGCTCACCTGAGAGAGAGGGGGGCCGCTTGTTTCCATCAATGGAGAACGGACGGGGGCCCCTCTGGGCTTCAACCTGCAATATGTCACTCAAAGAGACGCTTACCAACCAGGAAGAGACTCAAAGTGACTGCCCTTGCAGTCACTTTGAGTCTCTTCCTGGTTGGTAAGCGTCTCTTTGAGTGACATATTGCAGGTTGAAGCCCAGAGGGGCCCCCGTCCGTTCTCCATTGATGGANTCTCGTCTCTCTCTCTACTCTCTCTCTCTCTCTCTCTCTCTCTCTCTCTCTCTCTCTCTCTCTCTCTCTCTCTCCTGACAGCCCGTCAGTATCTCATGCAGCTCACTGATCCAGTAATGACTGATTGACCCGACAGTGAAGAATAAATATATTTATAACTAGTTTAGCTTGTTCCAGAGGTAGATCAAATGTGTCGGGTGTTCTTACGTGTTTCGCTCCGCTCACCGGTCCGTCACAGCGGGCGGAGCTGCAGGATTTCTGCTTCACACACGTTGCATACCGCTATTTTATTGTCATTTTCGGACACCTTAAAATAATGCCAGACCGGTGAAGCCATTTTGGCGAGCTTGTTTTGCCGCGCACAGAGAAAAGTGTATTTTACGTCATGCGATCGGCATTTTTAGAGAGCACGCCGGCCGATCGATCGAAGCATCCCTAGTATATACTGGCATCTATGAAGGACCAAAAAGGATCCAGCTGCCCGAAGTACAACACCACTTCCTTCCTCGCTT